GGCATTAAGAGGAATTTGGTCACTGCTTGGGTTCTCAGACTGAGATCTGCAACATAGCTCATTTCATCTGGTTTCAGATTCTCATAACAATCACTTAACTTACTATGGAGGTAAAAACAAGATTTCCTAATGCCAGAGGCTTATTTTCTATTGTGGAACAGTTTGGCTCTTGCTTCTATAGAGTAAAAAGTCACACACTTTGCACTGTTCTTGATGGCAAAAATATTCATAAAGCATCTTCCATTATTCACTTCAACATTTGTTGGATCGTGTGGGAACACCTCATATTTTGCAACTTACCTGTTTGCATGAGTAAGTGAAGAATACATACCGCCTTTTTGACAGGGCGGCATATGGTATTTTAAATACCTTCACAGCAGAATACTTCATTGAGAAAAGACTTACTACACAGATCAGTTTGATAATTAACAGAACCCAGAAAAATATATAGGCAAATACGTTCTGATGATCAGATTCCTTGTATCCATAGGTTTATTTTCACACGTTCCTCAGTTTGCTCCTGATCACTAATATGTACATTCTTCACAGAGCTGAGGTAACAGGGTAGGAACTTTAGTACTTCAGTATTTTGCAAGGAATTACATTAGAAGTGCCAGTGAGAGTGTAGGAGCTCTGTATTGACAGGCACAGTAAGACAAACCCATAAACTGAACGGCTATCTCACTAATAATAATAGTGATATCAGAATACAGATTTCTCTTCTACACAGTCTCTGATCCAAAATTTACTGGTCCTTACAAAAGCTTTCTTTTGTGGCTAAGATTTCAGTTTGCTAGGTCACTTACGAAAGACAGCACAACTAGAATTTCATCAGCCAGACAGTCATAGCATAAGGCATTTTGTAAATAGCATTGCTGCCTTGGAAAACCCATAAAAGGATACTTTTTGTAAAAATTATGATTTAGCCTCATTAGATCCAGTTCTTAGTTCTGGGCTGTGTAGACAGTGGCACAGAAGTATGTTCACCTGCAAGCTAGTCCTGGACATGCAGAGATTAAAGCAATCATCCTCCTGAATTTGAGGCAGGGTATGGAGGAAAAGCATATATGCTTAAAATATGCAGGTAAAGAGAAGGCTGTCCTTGAAGGCAATTCTCTTGTTCCTCAGTGGTACACAAGTTCTCATCTTCAAAAGGATACCATCAGTGTGGTCCCCAAAGGAAGGAAAGCAGTAGAAGGAATGGAAAGAACTCAGGGTAGCAACTTTAAGCTCTTATATTCCTGCACTTCCATTTTTCTGAACAAGTACAAAAGTGGAAAGGCTGACTTCCAAAAGTTAGTTCCACTTTCCGCCAATCCTGTCTCCAGAAAAACCTACTCCTTTTCATTGTTCTATTCTGACACCTGTTCTCCTGCTGCTGGAACAAATCTAAAACCATTGCTATCTCTGAAGTGCCCTTAAGTCCAAGACACCAGGAGCCTTGTCTATCCAGCTGCTGAGCCCTGTTTACAAGATACAGGGCAAAACCTGCAACACTGTCAGAACTTAAAGGAAGCAAATCTTTAAAAGCCATACAGCATGCTGTATTACAACCAACTAAACTAACTACTGTTACAACCAACTATTAAACAATAGGGTTTAATAAAAAATTCTAGAATCCCTGTGAGCAATACTGCACTGCTTTGATAATGCTTGCATACTTAACATATTGCTTCCAGGACACATACGCAAGGCCTGCAGACTTATGGCTGGTGTACAGAGATGTGATGACTTCAGAATATAGCTACCTTTGTGATAAAGCAGATGGCTGAATACTTGAACTTCAGTAGAAGCTGAAGTTCAGAGAGGGGCAACATGACCAAGTAAAGTCACAAGTTGCCAAGTCCATTTCCTCCTCTTCAACATGCACAAGGTGACTTCCATTATATTGGTAGGCAGACCTCAAAAAGGTCAAGGTGCAGCTGATCACTATTACCAGTGAAACTTTAGCAGTAAATTGAAAAGCAAATACACTATCAAGTACCTCTAATTTGACAGCTAGGATCTTGTAGCTGATACACAGCAGAAGATACTCTGCAGCCATGCAAACACATCCCCAGAAACAGTGTCTTGACACAGGCCTTGTGCTTAAAGTTAACAGTGACATCATAGGGATGAATATTTTACTATTAAAATAAAACCTTAATTATTGGGAAGAGATCAGCAAACTGTCGATCTAGTATCTCACTGTCTCCCGCATTTTCTTTATAACTTGTAACTTGCTTTCAGTCTTCAGTATCAGAGATTTAACTTCAAACGAATACAGAATCATTCCTGAAGAACAATCCTTCCACAAGATCAGAGCTAACACCACATATAACTCTACAGTGATGAGATGCACCATATTCATATTCCTTTGTTTCTGAAGCCGCTACCAAAGTTCACTGCATCATACTATTGCAGAACACCAGAAGTTTTTGGCACAAATACCAGCTAGAATATGCTAGGTGTTCCTTTGCTGGCACCTGGTTAGACTAGTATGCCAGCTCATGTCACGGATAGCCTCTTCAACTCAACCAGGACTGCTCAACCAGACCTTGCCCATCCTCATATTCAAGCATGAGCAGGACGAACTCACCAGTTATTTGTTAGAAACCTGCCATTCCAAATTAAGATAACATGCTGGCAGTCTACTAAGGACACAATACCAATAAATGAACAGGGCTTAAACTAAGATCTGTCACAAGCACAGGGGCATAAGGCTTTTATTTTGCTAAAAAGGTAATATTTCCATTTACTTTGTGGATGCCCAAACTGATTGCAGGTCTTTCTTGTTCAGAGCTTCCTTTTCACTTTTCAAATAATTTCTCTGGCATTAGGCAATGAAATTTCATCATCAACATCAGGCAAAAAGGGACTAAGGGGAGGTCATAACAAGTCACTACCCATTACATTGGGAGAGCACAATATTACACAAATATTTGCATTTTCTCATAAAACTTATTACAGCAAAATCTTTCTCACTGACATACTCAAAGTAGGAGCGTGGCTAGTAGTATCACCAGCAAGCATCATGCTGTTCTTTTTCCATTAGCCAGATGGTGGAACTAAAGCATTTACCATATTTACTGGAGGTAGGAGTGAAAAGGCATTTCAACACAAAATTCAGTAGTGTAAAGGAATTACAGAAAGTAACCAGAACATACAAAAAAAGGCACTTGGCCCTCAAAAGTTAATAAATTTTTATTGAATACAATTCCCAACTTTTAATTCAATATTTGACTGGTTTTTGAAAGCAGACAAGAAACAGGTACTTGGACCTCTCTTGGCATCATCCAGTTACTCACTGCTGTAGTTAACTGGATATTACATCTTGTTCCAGTCCACACCTCTGCCTAGCACAGTGTGTTTCAGTAGATCGATAGTGAGCACCTCACACCATGCAATGTAATTTTGTTCTCTATAATCTGCACTGCCCAATTCCATGTTGATTTAACTCCATACCAAAACAAAACCACCTTATAGAATCTTAAGAGGCTAGGTGCAGACCTAAAGAGACTACAGCCTCCTCTTTCAGGAAGCTACAATAAAGCCCAGCACTTACTTTCAAATTGCACTTTCAAAGAAGGTGATAGTAAGACTTTACATATGAGGGCCCCATTACCATTAAAACATGAAGTGACTGCTTGGCTGAAAGCAGTAAGGAATATTATTCACCTTCACAGCAAGATGTGATGTTCCTGTTCAATCTGAGGTGTGGGGAAAAAGTACCAGAATCTGACAATGGGAGACTTTGCTTGATGGGAAGATTTATGAAGATATATTTCTAGTCTTCTACCTAATCAGCTACTGTTAACTTGGGCTTCTGTATTTTATTACATCTAACTACTACCACGAAGCGTACCAAACATTTAGGATGGAGTTAAGACCCATTTAATTTCATGAAAAAATATTTGATTTCAATCATTTTTCTGAACAGGGGAAGCTATTAATTTGCTGTAGCAGCTTAGTGATAGTATCACATTAACTGCTGCTGTATCAGTTGAGGCTTTGAAGAGTATGATAAACTCTGCTTCTTATTAGTTTAACCCATTAAAAGAAAAAGCTTACAATGTCACTGCCGGAGAGTGATGATACAGAAGAGGCAGATGAGCCAGAGGACAACTGTTGTGTACTAGCCAGTGACAAAGCCAAGCGTTGGTTGTAAGATGGTTCAGAGTCTCTGTTCTGCTGCTGTTCTCCATTGCACGGAGCTACCTGGTCTCTTATTTTCAACCTATTATCTGTTAACAGAAAACATAAGTATCATTTAAGAGCACAGAATACAAACACATGGGCCTTGAAGTCTAATAGCTGCAGTTTAACAAGCTAATTGAAAAACAAGCTCAGAGAAAACTAGTCCTGGGTTAGAAAGTTACGAATTCCTTTTATTTTTTCCTACATATCTGAAAGTGACTTATTTCAAGGCATGAGTATTTTGAATTACATCAAATTCAAGAAAAAAATTTAAGTTGGTTTCAAAGATTCCTGCTATACCTACCAAGTTCAGGCGATAAATTAATTTTGCTCCCCCACTTCTTTTTAATCCAGGCCCTGTAGTCAATCACTTCTTGGGTCACTTTGATGATTCTACCTAATGTGCTAAAAAAATTTTTCAATTAAGTATTAAACAAAGACTGTAGTTATACATTTTCAAGCATTTCAACAACCAAATTATGCTAGAAGTCAGTTTAAGATATCCCTAACCAAAGAATCCTTTTGAACTTTCATTTCCTTAGTGAGCCATTTAACCCACTAAAGTGTCACAATTTCTAAATTAGTATACAACTTAGCTTCTACCACACTAACATGCAAGCGCTGACACATAGGTAAGATTTTTACTCTGTATTTCTAAATGGATTGCATCTTAATTATCAAAAATGTACATGCAGATACCAGTGTCGTTGATAAAAGCAATTTACAGGTTCTTGCATTTCTCCATACAGAAAACATTTTTTCCACAGAATCTGGATTACAACAGTTATGGGATGCACTGAAGACACTGATATCCCAGGCCCCCAGCTGACCTTCACACTGAAGACAGAGACCTTCACTGGTCCTTGCTTACAGATTTACAAGACAACTTAAAGACTTAAGATCCTCACAATTATAAAGGAAGTACCATGGATCGTGAGGTAGTGGAAACAAGAAACAGACTGGCTCCAAAACCAGAATAAGTTAGAATTTAAGCACATTTGTAACAGCA